GCTCTGTGCATAACGTTCTTGAATCACTGTCTAGTGCTTAAAGACCTCGTTGTCCAGTGCTTAAAGACCTCGCTGTCCAGTGCTTAACGTCCTCGCTATCCAGTCCTTAATGTCCTCGTACAGCAAGGCCGTTTGAAGATATAGCAATTTATTTTCAGCTTTGTTTATTTTGTAATATTCTGAATAAATTATAAATTCAGAATTTTATTTATTTTTATTTTCCGGGGCCGTTCATCTTCCCCGTCCGTTGTAATCCGTACGAGAATTGTAACAATCTTAAGGTAGTAGTGATATCTGTGCGCAATGGCGGGTATGGACGGATTCGGTTTTGACGCTCACACCGGAAACGGGAGTAGTTCCGAGGCTCCGGTTGTGAACGTTTCGGCTGGATTGGGTAGCTCTGTTGGGCAGACCACTCCGATCAACATTCCTTTCGAGTCGAGTGCGGCCATGGGGTCCACTCCGATCACCACCTTCGTTGGATTGAGCGCGACTATGAGGTCCGCTCCGGTCACCTCGGTTATTGGACCAACCGCGGCTACGGCCGCAATGGTCACCCCACTCGGACCGAATATGGCTTCGGCCATACCGGTCATTCCCTCACTTGGACCGAACACGGGTGTCTTCACATCCGCACCGGTCGGGCATCCTACTGTCATGCTGCCTGCGAACTCTGTCAAAGAACCGGCAAAGTTCACAGGTGTTGGCTTTAAAATATGGCAGCAGAGGATGTTATTTTGGCTGACCACCCTCAACCTTGCGAGGTACTTGAGGGAGGATCCCCCTGTTGTGGGGGAGAACGTGGACGAGCCAACGGTTCAGGCTAAAGAGGCATGGATAGCGAATAACTATACGTGCCTTAACCTTATCCTGAATTGCTTGAGCGATGCATTATATGCTGTTTATAGTAGGGCTCCATCCGCAAAGGAGTTATGGACTACACTGTGCAACAAATACCAGGCTGACCCGGTGCGAAGAAATTCGTTGTCAGTAAGGTCTTGGATTTTAAGATGGTGGATTCCAAACCCGTGGTCAGTCAAGCTGAAGAATTGATTCTCATTTTTAATGAGTGCACTGACGAGGGAATGGGAGTCAGTGAGGCATTCCGAGTGGCGACGATTATTCATGTGCTCCCGCCAGCTTGGGATGAGTTCCGAAGCTATCTCAAGCTCAAACGGAAAGAAATGACTTTAGAACAGTTGCTTGTTCATCTCCGGATCCGTGAAGAGGGTCTCACTCGCGAGAAGAAAGTAGCTGTTGCTAAGGCCAATGTGGTGGAGCATCCATCCAAAGAGGGTTCTTCCAAAGGGCCCAAGCCGGATAAGGACAAAAAGAAGATTGGTCCTAAAGGAGGCGTCGCGAAGCCCAAGTTCGCGGGGAAATGCTACAACTGTGGCATTACGGGCCACCGTTCTTCAGAGTGCCGCAAGAAGCCTCAGAAGAAGAAGCAAAAGAAGGAAGAAGCTCTCTGCTCGGAGCTAGATGCCATGGACCTTTGTGCTGTCGTGACAGAGGTCAACCTGGTCGAGTCTAACCCGAAAGAGTGGTGGGTTGAAACCGGAACCACTCGTCATATCTGCTCCAATCGGGCCATGCTCTTTGACTTTAAGGAGACTTCTGGCGACAAGGTGTGGATGGGCAACTCCGCCAAATCCGAGGTTCAAGGCGTGGGCAAAGTTAAGCTCAAGATGACATCCGGCAAGGAGCTCACGCTAAATGATGTGTTGTATGTGCCGGACATACGGAAAAACTTGGTGTCAGGCTCACTATTGAACAAACATGGATTCCGCATGGTGTTTGAGTCTGATAAGCTGATCTTGAGCAAGAAGGGAATATTCATAGGCAAAGGTTATATTTCTGATGGGCTTTTTAAGCTTAATGTACTCACTGTTGTTGAGAAAATTAATAAAACTCCTGTTGCCTATGTTTGTGAGTCCTCCAATATGTGGCATGGAAGACTAGGACATGTTAATTATGCATCTCTTCGGAAATTAATTAACATGGAATATATCCCTAAGTTTGACATCGACCAGTCCCACAAATGTGAGACGTGTGTCGAAGCAAAGTCAACACGAAGTTCGTTTCAAACAATTGAGCGAACCACTCAACCACTGGATTTAATTCACACGGATCTGTGTGATTTCAAATCAACGCCTTCAAGAGGTGGAAACAAATATGTTATCACTTTTGTCGATGATAGCACGAAGTACTGCTATATTTATTTACTTAAAAGTAAAGATGAGGCGTTGGACACTTTCATTCGGTATAAGAATGAAGTAGAAAATCAACTCAATCGCAAAATTAAAGCGATTAGGAGTGATAGGGGCGGGGAGTACGAAGCTCCATTCGCCGAATTGTGTGCACAACAAGGGATTGTGCATCAAGTAACACCGCCTTACACACCCCAATCAAACGGTGTGGCGGAATGGAAAAATCGCACTCTCAAAGATATGATAAATGCGATGTTGCTTAGTTCGGGGCTACCCCAAAATATGTGGGGGGAGGCTATTTTATCTAGCAATTATTTGTTAAATAAAATACCCCGAAAGAAACTCGATAAGACTCCTTACGAGTTGTGGTATAATAGGAAACCTTCCTACAAATACCTGAAAGTGTGGGGGTGCCTTGCAAAAGTTTTAGCACCACCACCAAAGAAAATAAAGATTGGTCCAAAGACGGTTGATGCAATCTTTATTGGCTACAGTGGTAGCGCGTATCGATTCTTAGTGTATAGGTCTGATAATCCAGAAATACATAAGAATACGATAATGGAATCGAGGAATGCAACATTCTTCGAAAATATATTTCCGTTAAAGTCGAGGGAAGAAGTAAGTTCTTCCAAACGTTCACATGATGAAATGTTGAACGATGGTTCCT